GACCTGGCTAAAACAGGACACAATAGATATCTACCCTCTACCAGGATACACAGCAATCCACAACTGCAGACCATACCAAGTTGGGGGTGGTATTGCAATCTATTACTCTAACCAATTATCTTGTATCAGCACCAAATTTCTTTAGTGATGAATATGGAGAATACATTTTTGCTAATTTTACTGTAAAAAACCTTAAGACGCCTATAACAATCGGTGCCATTTACCGGATACCCCACACTAACATCCCAAACTTCAGTGAGAAATTAAAGGCACTAATAACAAACAGACAAATGAATAAGCACCACCTTCTCTTAGCTGGAGACTTCAACATCAACCTTGGCCTACTAGATGATCAGCCTATAACTGATTTCATCAACAATATGAACAACACACTTCTCATACCAACAATAACTAAACCAACCAGGCTCACTGAAACAAGTGCAACCATAATAGACCACATATGGACCAATATACTAGCCCCCCTTAAATCAGGGATAATCACAGATAGCACTACAGACCACTACCCTACCTTCCTCTTGACAAACATTAGTAAACCACCACTTGAATACAACAAAGTCTCATTTAGACTCCATGATGAGGCCTCAATAAGGAAGTTCACAGCTGACCTAGAGACTGTTGACTGGACAGACATTTTTCTTAACAAACTACTTAGACTATTTATTTATTTATTTTATTTATTTATTTATAATTTGAGCACACTTACAGAGGTACAAAAAAAAATACAGATAAGAGCAGCATGCCAAAGCCACTTATACTATGCATAGCATTACGGGCTGGCTTAAAATTAACTTAAGATTAACTAAGCAATGATGAAATCAGTGAAAAACATTAATGTAAACTGATTACTATAAAGCACAAGTGAGTATTACAAAGACAGGTCATATGGTTGCATGCATTGTTGTAAATTCAGTAGAATGGAGTATTCTGTTAGGTAGTGAATTTAAAAAATAATAAAGTTTAGATTGGGTTTTAGGTTTAACATTTATGTGATATAATTGTGAGAAACATTTAAGATATACAATTTATAAGGTTCAGTTATTCAGTATTTATTTGGTTTTGGGTGAGTAAGTGATCTTTGAGAAGTGACTTGAATTTATAAACAGTTAGTGTTTCTTTTATATTAACAGGTATGATTCCAGATTTTAGGGCCTTTTATGTGCATTGAGTTTTTGCATAGCGTGAGATGGACACGAGGAATATCAAAGAGTGATCTGTGCCTTGTGTTATGGTCATGTGTTCTGTTGAGGTTGGCAAGGAGATGTTTGAGGGGAGGGTTAATATCAGAGTTGAGTGTTCTATGTATGTAATAGGTGCAGTAATAAGTATGGATGTTTTGTATGGTGAGTAGGTTGAGTGTATTGAATATTGGTGGAGTGTGCTGCCTGTAGTGAGAATTTGTTATCATTCTAACTGCAGCCTTTTGTTGGGTAATTAGTGGTCTGAGATGGTTACTTGTTGTTGAGCCCCATGCACTATACAACAAACATTGTCCTATAAAAACGAAACAGATCACAAACAAACGGCTTGGTTGCCCATGGCTAACCAGCACCATTCTGAAATCCATTGATAAGAAACACCAATATGAAAAGCAATATAGACAGGGCTTAACCCTTTGACTGTTTCAGGCCCCTCTCTGAAACTGTCATTCTATGTCGCCAAATATTCAAAAAAAAAAAAAAAATTATTTTTTCTTATGAAAATGTTAAGATTATTTTTCTGAGTGTTTTAGTCCAAAAAAAAAATTTTTGCCATCGGTACTTACCGAGATATAGAGCCGTGAAGTTTGCAGAAAATGAGCCGCGTGTGGCAACAGCGGCGACTGCCGCTCACCCGGTAAACTTTAGTTTACTTGAATTGAAGGTTTTTTGTTTTTTTCACTATTTTATTTTTTCACATAAACTTATGTGGCCTATGAGACCAAAGTAAGGTGCAATGTATATATATACACTCGTTGTATACAACACAATAACACACAAACATAATTATCAATATATTGTTTACAAACTTGTTTACAAAAACAAAAACAATCCTCTCCCTCCTCCTCCCTCCTCCTCCTCCTCCTTTCTCATCCTCCTTCTCCTCCTCCTCCTTCTCCTCCTTTCTCCTTCTCCTCCTTCCCTCCTTCTCCTTCTCCTTCTCCTCCTTCTCCTCCTCCTTCTCCCCTCCTCCTTCCCTTCTCCTCCTTTCCCTCCTCCTCCTTCTCCTCTCCTCTCTTCTCCTCCTCCTCCTTCCCTCCTTCTTCTCCTCCTCCTTCCCCTTCTCCTCCTCCTTCTCCTCCTCCTTCTCCTCCTCCCCTCCTCCTCCTCCTCCTCCTCCTCCTCCTCCTCCTCCTCCCTCCTTCTCCTTCTCCTTCTCCTTCTCCTTCTCCTTCTCCTCCTCCTCCTCCTCCTCCTCCTCCTCCTCCTCCTCCTCCTCCTCCTCCTTCTCCTCCTCCTCCTCCTTCTCCTCCTTCTCCTCCTCCTTGTCTTGTGTGCGAGTGTGTGGCTTATAATTGTTTTGAGTCAGAAGTCGGCAGCTGTCAAAGTGACATATTGTCTCATTAGTCACTACCCCTACCACCTGTCAAAACAATGGGGTCGGATGCTGCTTCCCCTCCTCCATTCTATCTAATTATCTTTCTCCCTCATTCTATATCTTTCAATCTGTCTCTCTTTCTATCTGTCTGCCTATCTCTGTCTCACAGGTACACATAAATACAAGTATACATAGTGTAAATTACCTAGGATAACCCCAAGAAATCCAGAAAAAAGTGCTATACTCTGCTTGAAGATGTGAGTAAACGTGATGACACAGTCTTGTGGCTCTCTCTGAGACAGAGAGCTAGATGGACAGACAGGGAGCTTGACAGACAGACAAATAGACAGACAGAAATGTTTGTGTACCAGCAAAAACAAAGGGAGGGCGATGGTCATGTAATATTACCCTCCTTTACGCTCATCAAAGTCAGCTCTTATCAGATGTTATCTCCCCTTATTTGTCACTGTCATGGGGTGGACTTTTTTTTTTCTTGCTTCAAGGGAAACAATATTATTACATCATCTTCTTCCTCCTCCTCCTCCTCCTCCTCTTCTCCTCCTCCTCCTCCTCCTCCTCCTCCTCCTCCTCCTCCTCCTCCTTCCCTCCTCCTCCTCCTCTCCTCCTCCTCTTCCTCCCCTCCTCCCCCTCCTCCTCCTCCATTGCTTTTGGTCTCAAACTCCTCCAAATCATGAAATTGATCTTCACTGACACTTCCATCTGTGTTAGAGCATCACTTGGGAAGAGAAGAGTCCCAGATTTGCTGGGGAATCACATATTTCTTACCGCTAGACATACTGAAAAAGGACAACTGAAATGGCATTCCCACAATGCACCACTGGCTCCCCGATTTTTTTTATATGGTGCACACTGACCATGGAGACCCATTCTCTCACATGTGGGCCTACCAGCTTTCTCCTGCTTGATTTGAAGCTGCTAGAATTTATGCGTATAAATACGTCAGAAACATTGGCTCGTAAGACGTATTTATACGTCGGAAACAGTCAAAGGGTTAATACACAAAAATATTCTTAAACACTATTCATCAGTCCTCACCAAAGTAATAAAGAAAGCCAAACAACTATACTACTCCAGTAGATTCACTGACACAAGAGGAGATATTAAAAAGACCTGGAAAACACTCAGATTCTAGGGACCCACAAACTGAAAAGAAACAAGAATATTGTCCTAACTAAACCTAATGAAACACCACTGCAACCCACCGACACAGCTAACAAGATAAACGACTTCTTCTCAACCATAGGTTCTAATCTCGCCAATAAAATCCCACGTACCAATGCCCATGCTGGGGACTACCTAGATGGGAATTTCCCAAATTCCTTCTATCTTGCTCCAACTGAGCCCACGGAAGTCACCGAGATTATAAAGTCACTTAAAAATAACTCAGGGAATCTGTCTCATGTCCCACCATTATTGTACAAGAGTGGCCCATGTCCTCTCGCATACTATCTCATTGCTTTTTAACAAGTCACTAGAAGCTAGCACCTTCCCGAAACTACTCAAGACGGCAAGGGTTACACCAATACATAAAGGTGGTGACCCTACAGATTTAAACAACTATAGGCCAATATCAAACTTACCATTGCTATCCAAAATCTTTGAGAAACTCATGCACAGGAGACTACAGTGGACCCCCACATACTGTCGGCATCACATAACGTTTAATCCACATACAGCTCGCTTTTATCGCAAAAATTTTGCCTCGCATACTGCTCAAAAACCCGCTCACCACTGTTCGTAATCCGCATACCGCTTGCTTTAATCGCAAAAATTTTGTCTCGCATACCGCTTAAAAACCCGCTCACCGCTGTTCGTCCGAGACGCGTCCAATGTGCGCCCTCAGCCAGCCTCACATGTGCCGCCCGTGCCATTGTTTACCAGCCAGCCTCCGCGGTAACATCCAAGCATACAATCGGAACATTTCGTATTATTACATTGTTTTCGGTGCTTTATCTGGAAAATAAGTGACCATGGGCCCCAAGAAAGCTTCTAGTGCCAACCCTACAGCAATAAGGGTGAGAATTACAATAGAGATGAAGAAAAAGATCATTGATAAGTATGAAAGTGGAGTGCGTGTCTCCGAGCTGGCCAGGTTGTATAATAAACCCCAATCAACCATCGCTACTATTGGTGGTACAGCTGCTGCTGCTGTAGCATCGTCTGCTGCTGCTGTAGCATCGTCTGCTGCTGCCGTAGCATCGTCTGCTGCTGCTGTAGCATCGTCTGCTGCTGCTGTAGCATCGTCTGCTGCTGCTGCTGCTGTAGCATCGTCTGCTGCTGCTGTAGCACTGTTGTTGGTGTGGCTTATTGAGAATATACCAAGAAACAATTAACCCCAGAGGATTTGCCACCCAGGATAACCCAAAAAAGTCAGTGTCATCGAAGACTGTCTAACTTATTTCCATTGGGGTCCTTAATCTTGTCTCCCAGGATGCAACCCACACAGTCGACTAACACCCAGGTGAACAGGGAAAAATGCCTGGAACTAGTGCTCATATTGGTGAATTTAAAGCCAGCAAAGGTTGGTTTGAGAGATTTAAGAATCGTAGTGACATACACAGTGTGATAAGGCATGTTCTGGAAGAAAATACCAAACAGGACCTACAGTACTCAGGAGGAAAAGGCACTCCCAGGACACAGTGTCTCATCAGTCATTGCTGCATCTTCAATAAAGGTAAGTGTCATTTATTCTTCATTTAGTAGACTAGTACATGCACAATATATACTGTGCATGTACTACTCTACTATTGTGCATATATCCTTCTCTTTGTGTGTAGGAAAATGTATATTTCATGTGGTAAAATTTTTTTTTTCATACTTTTGGGTGTCTTGCACGGATTAATTTGATTTCCATTATTTCTTATGGGGAAAATTCATTCGCATACCGATTATTTCGCATACAAATGAGCCCTCTTGCACGGATGGATTAAAATCGGTATGCGGGGGTCCACTGAGATATATATGTATATATATATATATATATATATATATATATATATATATATATATTATATATATATATATATATATATATATATATATATATATGTATATGGATATATATATATACAGCAGGGCCCCGCTTTACGGCGTTTCACTTTACGGCGTTCCGCTAATACGGTCATTTCAAATTATGACCAAAACTCGCTATACGGCTCCCCCCACCTGACTTTCTAATACGGTCACCGCGCCCCACCCTATTTGTTTACATTCTTCGTGAGCTCAGTAAGCACTAAGTCTCTCCATTTTGTCTGGAAACTCCAAAATTTCAAATGTTTTTAAAAGTTATTTCATATTTTATATATACTCTGATAATTATACTTATGTATACCTGTACTTAAATAAACTTACAGACTGTGCTGGCATGCAGGTACACATTAAAATCAGTAAGAGTGTCTTATGTCTCCAGACGTCATATTAGTAATGATAATAATAATCATCGAGTCTCATTTAAATGTCGTATATTACGTTAAATACACATTTTCATTAATCCATCTATGATATTTTTTCAAAATTATATAATAAACACGATACATAACATAAAAAGATGATAAATACACCCCACAACAGAATAAATAAACATAAATATGAGATGTGGTAGCCAGATAACTTGTACAAGTGATGCCAAGAATAACATTTTCTCTAATCTAACATAAGAGAAAATGTGTTATTGGGGGTAACTGTAGAAAATTATTCCTTTCCTATGTATGTAAGTAAGTTTATTCAGGTATACACAAATACAGTTACATAGATTATCATACATAACAACATATGTGTAGAGAACCTAGGATAACCCAAAAAAGTCAGAGTGACTTATTTCCATTGCCTTCACTCAGAGCATCATTTCTTCTCAAAATGATGTTATTATTATAATAAAAAAAGAAGCGCTAAGCCACAAGGGCTATACAGCGCAAAATGATGTTACATGAGAATGGGAGTGTTCTTCTTTATTTATTCTACCGTATCAATGTAGAGACAACCTGTACACAATGTAACTTGTACACAAACCAGACGTGTACACTGTTTGTTTACAAAACTTACCTTCGCCTGGTTTGTTTACATAACTCTGCGCCTGTACTCTCTCATGCACTCATTCTTTCTCTCTCTCATTTATTTGTTTTATCTCATTTACTTACTCCTGACCCTACATTAAGACTACAAATATTTTAAGGTAAGTAATGAGTGAACTGTATATACATTTTATCGCTCTGGGATGCTTAAATGTAATAGAATATTATGTGTAGGTGGGTTGGCCTGGTATGGTAGCCCGGCTGACTACCATACATACCACACTTGATTTTTTACAATAAATGCTACTCATCTCACCCTATATTTTAAGGTAAGTAATGAGTGAACTGTATATACATTTTATCGCTCTGGGATGCTTAAATGTAATAGAATATTATGTGTAGGTGGGTTGGCCTGGTATGGTAGCCCGGCTGACTACCATACATACCACACTTGATTTTTTACAATAAATGCTACTCATCTCACCCTATATTTTAAGGTAAGTAATGAGTGAACTGTATATACATTTTATCGCTCTGGGATGCTTAAATATCATAGAATTGTATGTGTGGGTGGGGTGGCCTGGTATGGTAGCCTGCCTGACTACCATACATACCACACTTGATTTCTTACAATAAATACTACTTGTCTCACCCTAGATTAAGACTATAAATATTTTAAGGTAAGTAATGAGTGCACTATGTGTGTGTTGTACTTTTTTATTGTTTTTTGATGCCTGGTTCTATTGCTAACTTAATATATGTTAGTGTTAACTTGTTATCTAGTGTTTGTATGCATTTGTAAGTGGAAAAAATGGGTGTTCCACTTTACGGCGGTTTCCGCTTTACGGCGGTAGCCTGGAACCTAACCAGCTGTATAAGTGGGGCCCTACTGTATATTTATTTATACATACACATACATATTCTTTCAACAAACAGGCCCAATCTAAACTTTTTTATATTGATGTTTTTATCAATGAATCTGAGGATGCAACCTGTAAGTCATGGGTTATTTAGTATCTTTGCTGTGGTCTCTTTAGTTTTAACTGAACAATGTCTATTGTAAAGGTTTTCTGTTTTTTGGAGAAAAAATACAAACCCATTCATCAGTTTCCCGATTGTCAGTAAACTTTCAATGCCAGTCAGCGTCATGTGATGCTCAAATAAACCTATTTCCTGAAGTCTCATTATGGAGACGAAATGTGATCTTACTGGAGCTGTAGGTAATATACATAAGTTGGTAATAAGAAAGGTGGGGAGTTCAGTGATGTTTTCTGTGATTATTCTTGCTTTGAGAAAAGTTTTTATATTGGTCCAGATTTATCCTTAGGTGTATTTCTTTACACCCTATGGAGGTTAGCATCGGTCCAACTGTGACCACAAATACAGGTCTTTACAGACTAATCCACCATCAGCACCACTATTGCGTGCTCCAGCTCAAGTCCCTCCTAAGCCTAAATCTTGAAATTGCTATAGCATATGAAAAGAAATTACAAACAGGTGAGGTACAACCCTGTACAAAGGAGTTACGTTTGATGGGAACAACAAAAAATAAAATATTAAATGATATAAATAGCACATTTACGGCAATATTAGGCATTGAAATTTAGTATAAATTTTCCCTTAAAAATCAGTTCATGAAGTGAATCTAAATGAAAATGCTGATAATTTGTTTCTATGAATTTGGAGTTTAGAGAGCAGCAGGACGAGCATCATGAGTGAGAAGACAGAATCAGAAGTGGTGACAACAACACCTTGGCAGTGTAAACTGAGCACACCTGAAGAACGTCTAGCTTCACTCTACCAGACATCCAAGTTTACTGATCTGACTATCACTTTCCCAGGTCATGAGGAAACTATGAAGGTACTATACTTTTATCACTGGTACATCTTATAATTATTTTACTTGGTCATTCACTTATTGCTGTTTACCAGCAACCTTGTTGTAGTACTATAACGAAGGCAGTAATGATGAACGAGCAAAAGACGAGGGGTAAGTAAATTCTTATATTTCCTTCACCAAACAGCGAGCAATTATATGTACAATACTGACAGAGAATATGTACATAAAGACAATTTTGCAAGCAACAGAAACAGGAACTGCCTTCGACCAGACTTGGAGGTAAGTCTATCAGTTTTGATTAATAGTGTCTAACATCGCTTCACAGCCTTGGTGGGCTTCCATGTCATTGGCTGGGTTGAACCAAGGTGATAGCACAACAAGGGGGCCCTGCTCATTACACCTTTATCATCTGGTTTGCTGGTCTGTAGGACATGCCTATATGTACATGTGTGTGTGACATATGCCGAATAAAATGTAGCATACTGTTAGCATGCCACATAACCCTCATATAGTCTTCTCCTTTCTATGCTCCTAATTCTCAGCATAATCACTTCACGAATCTTCCTCAAACATCACATCTCCACTGTCTTCAGTCTCCTCCTTACTGCAATACTTCAAGCACATGGTTCACACCAATACAACAGTGTTGGTACCTCCTTTCTCTGGTATATTCCTTGTTTTGCCTTAATGGATAAATCTTTCTCCACAGATGCCTAAACATAACCTCTACCTTTTTCCCCTTCATCTGTTCTATTGTTCATTTTGTATTTCATAGACACATATGCTTATAAGTTTACTCACAAATGTTTGAATAAGTATGTTGATTTTCTCTATACTCCTTCCCTCCAATCTAATATTCAGTCTTTTGTAAACTAGATTTTTTTGGTTAGTCTTCTGACCTTGCTCCTAAACAACACCTAGAAAGAATTAACTCTGTGGCACTTGAGGTATGCTCAAGGCACATTACCCTAAGAAAAAACAAATGATGCAAACTAGAAAGAAAGAGACACTCTGTCTACAGGCGAATGCTAAGAATCATAGAGCTATTCAAAGGGGCCAGTCTATCTGAAATATGGAAGGAGGAGAAATAAAAAATATCAAACTTAATCCTAAGGAATCATACAAGAGCCAAGGAAAACAGGAAATTGAAAGAAATCCAAAATATTTCATTTCTAATGCCAAAACTTGAGTAAAAACCATACCCAGTATTGGGCTCCTTCCTTCAACAAGATGGGACTTGCACAGATGATAGCAACGAAATAAGTGAGATACTGAAGTCCCACTATGACTCAGCATTCTAAGAAGAAAGATCTCCAACCATTTGGACAGTCAACAACTGCACAACCCAAAGCGGCATGAGTTTACAGCATGTTGCTCCTGCCTCTCACAACTAAACCACTAGGAAATGGCCTTGGATGCACTGGAGGACAAACAGAATAGAAATACTACAGTGGAACCTCTACTTGCGAGCATGTCCACGTGTGAGTTTTTTCCAAATACGAGCAGTCGATTGGTCAATTTTTTGCTTCCATACGCGAGCAAAATTTCCACAAGCGAGCAGACCTCAAGGCAGGTTCCTTTACGCTGGTAAGGGGCTCTTGCTCTTGATCTCGGGAATTGTATCTCATTTGTTTGTTGGACTATCTTATTGAAAGTTGGGCAATGTATGATGGAAAAATGCTTCTTAACATACACCAAAAATGAAAGAAATCTAAGCATAAATAGTGGAGTTCACTTTTCAGCAATTAGCCACCCCTTAGCGGTAATTTCAAATGATTATTATGGTTGTATTCTCGTTGTTTTAGTCTCAATTGATAGAATGGAAGATATATTACAGAAATAGATATGATTTTGATTGCTTTCATGCCGAAAAGTACCTTGAAATAGAGCTCAACCTTGGAGAAATGGTCCATTGCTTGGCTGTTTCAGAGTAAACAAGTGCATCACTATCCATTCCAATATGCAGTCGTGAATTGGTTTACATTTATACAATTATTGCAATAAGGAATAACAGTAAATCTTATATTTTTTGTGTGAATAAAAATTACAAATTATTTATATAATAATAATAATATGTATAATAATAATACATGTATGTATAATAATAATATAATAATAATAGTATAATAATATAATATGTATAATAATACTTATATAAAAATGATGTACTACATATAATAATTATAATAGACGGCTTCAAAAGGCCGTCACTAGATGGCAGTGTTTACCACAACAAAGAGGGAGCGGTTGTGGCCGCCTCCACCGGTTACATAATGACATATTTTATTCATTCTATAGTATATATCATGTTTCTATGTTATTTATGTCATATTAGATGAACTGTGATAGATAAATAAGCGATATAGATGATTTTAGCAAAATTATTCATGAAGTATTTTGCCCGGTCTCCAGACAAACTCTCGTCCACCACCGACACCACCCATACCACTACAGTGGACCCTCAGCTAACAATATTAATCCGTTCCTGAAAGCTCATCGTTGGCTGAAATTATCGTTAGCCGAATTAATTTTCCCCATAAGAAATCATGGAAATCCAATTAATCCGTGCAAGACACCCCAAAGTATGAAAAAAAAAATTTACCGCATGAAATATTAATTTTAATACATACACACAAACTGACACTTGCCTTTATTGAAGATCTGGTGATAATTTATGGGATGGGAGGAGGGGAGAGTGTGGAAGTTGTTAATGTTTAGAAGGGGAATCCCCTTCCATTAGGACTTTAGGTAGCATGTCCTTTTCCGGGGTTACTTCCCTTCTTCTTTTAATGCCACTAGGACCAGCTGACCGTGGTGCAGCAACAGATGATGTTGGTGTAGCAGCAGCTGACTGTGGTGCAGCAGCAGCTGACCGTGGTGCAACAGCAGCTCACTGTGGTTCAGCAACAGCTGATTGGTGCAGCAACAGCTGACCGTGGTGCAGCAACAGATGATGGTAGTGTAGCAGCAGCTGACCGTGGTGCAACAGCAGCTGACTTTGGTGCAGCAGCAGCTGACCATGGTGCATTAACAGGTGACGGTGGTGTAGCAGCAGCTGACCATGGTGCAACAGCAGCTCACCATGGTTCAGCAACAGCTGACTGGTGCAGCAACAGCTGACCGTGGTGCAGCAACAGCTGACTTTGGTGCAGCAGCAGCTGACCGTGGTACATAAACAGTTCACGGTGGTGTAGCAGCAGCTGACTGTGGTGCAGCAGCAGCTGACCGTGGTGCAACAGCAGCTCACCGTGGTTCAGCAACAGCTGACTGGTGCAGCAACAGCTGACTGGTGCAGCAACAGCTGACTGGTGCAGCAACAGCTGACTGTGGTGCAGCAACAGCTGATGTTGGTGTAGCAGCAGCTGACTGTGGTGCAGCAACAGCCGACTGTGGTGTAGCAACAGCTGACGGTGGTGCAGCAGCAGCTGACTGTGGTATGATAGTACATATTTCTCACCCTTTTTACCACAGGGTTGGCACTAGAAGCTTTCTTTGGGCCCATGGTGGCTTATTTAGCAGTTACAAGCACTATAAACAATGGAATAATACAAAATGTATCGAATGTATGCATGCAACCGGCCACTCTGGCTTATAAACAATGACGGCAGGGCTGGATGGACAGGTTCGGGACGAGTCATGTTGGTCAGAAACAGCTGATGGTGGTGCAGCAGCAGCTGACTGTGGTGTGGCAGCAGCTGACTGTGGTGCAGCAGCAGCAGCTGACTATGGTGCAGCAGCAGCTGACCGTGGTGCAGCAGCAGCTGACCGTGGTTCAGCAACAGCTGACTGTGGTGCAGCAGCAGCTGACCATGGTTCAGCAGCAGCTGACCGTGGTGCAGCAGCAGCAGCTGATGGTGGTGCAGCAGCAGCTGATGGTGGTGCAGCAGCAGCTGATGGTGGTGCAGCAGCAGCTGATGGTGGTGCAGCAGCAGCTGACCGTGGTGCAGCAACAGCTGACGGTGGTGCAGCAGCAGCTGACAGTGGTGCAGCAACAGCTGATGGTGGTGCAGCAACAGCTGACCGTGGTGCAGCAGCAGCTGACCGTGGTACGATAGTATGTATTTCCCACCCTTTTTACATATGATCGCTTAAGAGATGGTATCTCCTGCTATCTGTTTTTCGTTTATTCACACCAATAACAGTTTCTCAACATCTCCGAGTACTTACGATCTCTGTTTTGAAAACAAACTTGCACCTTTTGCAAGAACAGCTTCCTTGATTGCCGTTTTGTTGGCTACAATAGTAGCGATGGTTGATTGGAGTTTGGTATACAACCTGGCCAGCTCCGAGACACGCACTCCACTTTTGTACTTAGCAATTATCTCTTTCTTCATATCCATAGTAATTCTCACCCTTTTTCCTGCAGAGTTGGCATTAGAAGCTTTCTTGGGGCCCATGGTGACTTATTTTGCAGGTACAATCACTAAAAACGTTGTGACAATATGAAATGTTCCGATTGTATGCATGGATGCGACCGCACTGGCTGGCTTGTAAACACTAGCACCCACGGGACAACTGAGGCGCGCTCAGGCCACACGTGGACGCATCTCAATCGTGTTGGGCGAGTTTTTTGGCTTTAGCTAAAGCAAAATTTTTGCGTTAAAATGTATCATTTGCTGGATTTAACGTTAGCTGATGCCATCGTTAGCCAAGGGTCCACTGTACATGAATGACATATTTTATTCATTCTAGAGAATATATCATGTTTCTATGTTATTCATATTGTTTGTTATGTCATATTAGATGAACTGTGATAGATAAATAAGCCATATAGATGATATTAGTGAAATTATTCATGAAGTATTTTGCCCAGTCTCCAGACAAACTCTCGTCCACCGCCAACACCGCCCATACCACTACATGAATGACATATTAAATTCATTTTAGAGTATATATCAGGTTTCTATGTTATATTGTTTATGACATACTAGATGAACTGAGATAAATAAGCCGTAGAGTTGATAGTAGCGAAATTATTGAAGTACAGAATTCCACTGGAACGGATTAATTGCATTTCACTTAATTTAAATGAGGAAAATTGACTCTGCAAACGAGCAAATCCAGTTGTGAGCAAGGTCATGAAATGGATTAAACTCGCAAGTAGAGGTTCCACTGTATAGCAAAAGGTGACCAGTTAAGAAGGTGCCTTTACCAAATTCAACTTAACCCTTTGACTATTTACGTCGTATATATACGTCTTACGCGCCACTGTTTCTGACGTATTAATACCTG